CCCCCCCCCCCTTGACACTCGAGTGTAAGAATCCTTTCCACACTGTCAATGGATTTACAAAATAGTTCATGTCAGGAAGGGGGAGGGGTGAGTGTGGAGAAGAATCACTGACTGCGATTTGTATGATTGACATTCAAAACCAATAAATGTTAAAAATGGGAATTTTTCATGTAACTAAAAATGATTTGTCTAATTGTTTTATGTATTTTTAAATAATATGCCTTTATCTTTATTCGGTCAGCATACTTATTGATCAGTCCGGTTGTAAATAACTTTGAAAATTCGCTAATAAGTTGTGAATTTCGTGAATTTGCTGATGTTACAGGACAACACGCCCGTGAAAACATGTCATATCTCAGTTATAAATGGTCGAATCTTTTCATTTTGGTTCTTTTGGCATAGAAAACATTCAGTCAGAGTGTGATGACAGCAGTGTATTTGCTTCTCACCTACTACCGATTATATATACCCATTATAGTAAGTGTACAATTTATTCTGTGAAAAACGTCATGGTCGTTAAAACAGGCCCAGACGGCAGTAGGGAAACTCGAGATAGATTAATTATCCGTGGTTATAAAGTCTTTAGTTCAGTTTATCAGACCAAAGTGTTACAAATCGTGATAATAGTTGTGATTGAATTATAATGAACGTGATCTGAAAAATTCTGAAAAATCTCCGTTTTGCTTGTGAAAAACGACCGTGATGTTACTCATATATTGACAGTAGTCTTGTTGGAAATGGGGCAATTTTAAGAAAAACAATATGACCACTCCATCATAACATAAAAGGATTTTCGATATAACAAGCATTACCTCATCTATGAACTGATATTGTGCAAAACTGTGACAATCGTCACGCGTGAAAAACGTCACGGTTATAGCATTGAACTCGAAGTAGTAATTAGCCATTTCTATAAATCCCAGATGCATTGATTTAATTTTATATTATGACCCATATTCTTAAAACACATGTTTAAAAGTTATTCAGTGACTACGCATAAAGATCAACTCATAGGCAAGGAAACGATAACACCTAACAAATTTGCACTTTTGTAAATGTGCTTTTTACATTTTATACGTCTTTACAATAATACGTAACATGCAAGCAAATGACAAGTTATTTGTGAATTCTATAAGCATAATTTATCGGAAAAGTCATAACAAAAAATGTTATATGAAGACCATTAAAGCCCAAAATAGTTGACCCTCAGTAAATAACATTTCGTTCAGTGTATTCCCAGGGATCGCTGAATTCAATCATAAAGTCACTTAATGTTTGCATTCTGTTTTCTTTTCAATGAATGCAATTATAATTAATGGAGAACAGCATAAACCGAAAACTCTAGTTAAGTAATATGAGCGATTACAGCTTTTCAACGATGTTTTCGTGTTATAATTAATTTTTATTTTTTCAATTCCATTTGCACGATCTGTATATGATCTGTAATATTCAATATGCCTTTGCGAAACGCAATTCGTTGGAAAAGAGAAAGAAAAAAGAAAAAACTAAGCAATCCCCGAGAATATTAAAGAAAATGTAAGGCAAGCAATGCAAAAAACACTCCTCTCTGAAATATATCGCCAACGGACGAGCAAAAAGAAATCAGCACAAAATGCACGCTTCGAGAATGGAGGCAACAAAGCGAGATTAATTCTTTCAATGTTCTCTTTCTCTAAAACAAAACCGGGATAACCCATTGCACTGAATATTAAACTTCCTGAACTTTAAAGAAAAAATGAAAATCACAGGAAAGAATTGAGTTTATGCTGAGAGTTTGGTTATGTGATATCAGAAACCGTTGAAAAAGTATCGAGTCTGACAAAAAATTCGTTGTGGGACTAGCGACTTAACTCAGCTCGAATGAAGCAAAACATTACGATAAGAACGTTTTCAGTGGCCATGAAAAATGACCTTGTGATGAGATCGGGGCATCGATGAAGCGCTCCGCAGACCCAAAGAAAATTTCATATTCACAGTGCAGATGATTTTTATGCTTTGGCTACGTCAGACTTAAATACGTCAGCAATATCATTCTTATATCTTTCAAATGATAACGTACAATCAAGTAGAGTTTCCATTAACAGATTTTAAATAAAAAAGTTTCTCTTTAAATTTGAAATCTTTATAAGGGACTTTTCTGATGCATGATTGAATGCCTTTAATGTCATTTGGAGTGAACATGTGCATGGTTGCCCTGCTGTTTGTGGCGCATGCAGGAAAGACTTCACTACGTCACCCTGCAGTTGTCTAAAAAGTAAACACCAATAGTAAAAGTTTCTCAAATTGTAAAAAACAAATCAAAGTGTCTTACCTCATACACTCAAAGAGAATAAAAGGGAACTAGGGTGATTAGGTGCTTGACGACATGGCATTTGCACCATCGATGTAAAGTGTAAAGCGCTGGTTTCTTGAATCAGTGAAAAGTTTTGGTGAAGTTGATTTAAAAAGATAAATAATGTGGTGTGCACATAGTTATTGAAAATAGAAAAGAGGTGTTCAGTGCATATAAACTATGATTGCATATGAGTCCACATATGTAACATGTACGTAACTGCTTTTTCCTTGGAGAAAGTAAAACTCGGCACGATTCTACTATTCATGCTTTATGTCGAGTTTTGAGGGAAAATTAAACATAAAGGTGATAATATAAGACAAAAATACAAACTTGTTTCTCAATTAACCTAGCTATAGTCATAAAAAATGATCATTCTTGAATTAAGACTTCTCTTAAGTGAACATATAACTCATTGTCATTTGTTTCCAATTTTCTTGTGAAAAACGACACGCGGAAAAATGGTGAACCAGTCGAATGATCACTGCTCCCAAAATAATTTTTTTATCATTTTCTATTCGTCTAAAGCATCATTTTTCATGACCGAATCGATTCATGTTCAAATAGGATCGACCCCTTTCAATTTTACTCAAATTAAAAACACAACGTATGAAAAAAATCGAGAAAAATTATGGATTCGTATGTTTCATGTTGACAAGTGATGCACATCAAGAGGAAAATACTTGAAGTCCAAATTCATTTATGATTTTAAAGGACAGGAGAGTAGCAAGAGGAAAGTCCTTGGTTTTTTGAAAATGTTGCATTCTAATGTGAATATCTTGGCATATTAAAGGGTGACGCATATCGTTTAGCAAATCGAACGCTCGTTTCTGGTGTTGCTCACCGTTTAGTATAAAAGGCCCGATCCCGGAATAATACTCAAGGGTTCACAGGTTCGAGGTCGTTGTGTCAACACCTCTAACTGTTATATAGCATAAGTATATTATAGATCGTCACACATTTATAAAAAGGTGATTTTTATTTTGACAAATCAATTCCACATTTATGGGTGAAGTTTCAGGATCTTCTATTTGTGTATAATAAGGAAAAATTGGCATCTAAATTTCCCCATAACGTAATAGCACACAGCTTGGCATATGAAATATCCTACAAATGAAACAAAGCAAGACAAACCGGTTTCTAATACAAGGATTTATATTGGCTGTTGTACATGTATTCTTTGAACGCAATCACTCTTTGGATAACGTTTTCAAAATCATTATAAACGGATTACTTTATCTCAAAGACAATTTCAATAAACTTGATTTTACAGAACTCCCCTTATTTCTTAAAAATGGACTGATCCAGTTGATTCGCCTGGAGCCGCCATATTGTTTTTATACGGGATGCTAATCGTCACCCTTTAATCACGGACTGAAAATGTGAAAATCGTCACGTTTGAGACGGGCCCTAATTTCAATTTGAAATTCCACCTTATGTTCCGTGGAGTTTACTTCAATGCTTTGGGTAACGTGTGTATAAATGTGTACAGATACATACTACATGTCTATTTGAAAAAATCATTTTATTGCTTTTTTGAATTTTTAACAAAATTTGTTTCACACTTAAGCCGTTTTCAGTGTAGAACATTATACACTTATCATAAATTCGTAAAGAATAGGTTTTATGTTATGATTGGAGTGATGTATGCATAGAAGAATGACACTGGTTTTGAAATATCTTAATTATCCCATTGAATGAAGCCATCCGTCCCTCTGTCCATTGTTAACTCATACTAGTGGACTGATTTGATTTAAAGGAGAAGTCTCGATGTAGAACGTGTACACACTAATGAGAACGAATTTTACTCATTTCTATTTAGGATTCGTTCATATACTAGCGGGGTTTAGAGCATTTACAAACGCACGAATTGTATTGTTTTAAGGCAACTTTAATGACATATAATGTATTTAAAGCTGATTAATTTTAGATTATATTCGGTTCAATTTTACAAATAATGAATAGTATTACAGTATATCGAAAAATATACAATGATTTACATTAAATTGCGCAGACTGCAAACAATGTACATGGTTGGCGAATTTGCATGCGCGTTCTTGATAATAAGAATTAAAGGTTGAACTTAAAAATCAAACATTTTCTTTTTTAAACATATTAAATCTTTAAATAAAAAAAAATAAAAATGAGATTGATGATTGAACTTTTCATAGTCAACTGCGACTGTGTCGACGCATGTTTATTTACTTAGCTAATTAGATATGTAAAATTGTTAATGGCCGCAACGGATAATACGTACATGTAAGCTGTTCGGATAAGACATTTCTATATGATTAATAACAAATCCCGGGCAGAATGTTATTCAACAGTATCTGATCTTATCAGTTATTATTCAATTTGGATAATAAATCTATTATCTCGTCGTATTGATGTTTATTATATAGTGTTTCTCGTTGTGTTTAATATACTGTTCATTCAGCCATTCAAATAATTATTTTTTGACAGACAAATTCAAATAACAATTCGATTGGAATTAATATTGTCGAAGCACCTCCATGATATTCAATAGTTCGCTGAATACAGTACCACTAATTTCATTTTTGGTTCGGGTTTTCCATCAGTAGCATGTGACCTGCACCAACCAGTGTCAATGAAAATGTGACACAAGAGCAATGTCTTATTTTCAGGTTTTCAATCAAAGGCTTCTGATATGCACCAACTTGGTGATCAGCTAGCCAGCGGTGGTCACACTGTGACACAAGGGCAATGTCTTATTTCAGGTTTTCCATCAGTAGCTTGTGACATGCACCAGTTGGGTGGTCAGCTAGCCAGTGGCAATAACACTGTGACACAAGAGCAATGTCTAATGGGCTGCATGGTGATCAATACGTGTCTTGGTGCGGATTACAACGAGCTAGAAATGAGCTGTTATTGGCATCTTGGAGACACAGTGTGTTCACCGCTTGTGCCAAAAGATGCTTGCAAAAACTTCAGAAAAGTTGCGTGCAGTAGGTATCCAATGGTGCATATTTGTGTTGGAAGTTGTGTTGACAGTGTTTTAATTCGTAATTGTTTCGTGTGTATTTAAAATGAATTATACTATAATTAAAACTCTTGACAAGAAGTTAGAGGTTTTCAATAACCCCCAGGTAGTGGTAGTAATATCATTCCATAGCGCATTTGTTTGTTTACATTAAGATAATACAGTCAATATTGTCTAATCCGAACGCCACTATGAGCAAAATTGTTCAAATTATAAACCAGTTGTTTGCAAATCCTAAAAAGGTTTTCATAATATCTCTATACTATATCCAAACAAAAGATTTCCTTAGTTGGAGACATTTGATCCAACAGCGGATCCAAAGCACCTCTGTCATTTAGTGAGCTCACTCCTCATTGAACGAAACGTATAGTAATGCATTTTATAAAATCATCAAATAATGATCAAATAAAGGGATAAAATGTTAAGTGTATTACAGTTATGTACTTACCACCATGCTTTATAACATGTGGGTATAAATTTGGAAACACGTCTACCTTATTTTGTCACAGACACCGTTCGAATACCATAATTAACTTATGTCGGGTGTATCCAAGGTTAAAACAAACCGTCGTCGAGAAGGCCTACAGGCCTGTAGTTTACTGTATATTGTATCACACGTATCAATGTGTAATCTCATTCTCTATAGATGGCGACACTCCTATAATGACAGAACGGAATCCAGGATTTCACGTTCTTGGCGGAACGGTCTTCTGTAGAGAATGTACGGAAGATGTCTGTTTAGCTGAGTGCGTGCGCAACAATTCATGTCTAGGTGCTGATTATAACCGAGCTGATATGTCGTGTTTCTTCCATTATAACGACACTGTTTGCGACATGCTTGTCATGAAACAAGATTGCATTAACTTTAGGGTGTCCTCTTGTTCAGGTGAGAAATTGCTAGTTTCTTTGCATTGGTTGCAATTATGTAGTAAAAAGTTCAGAACGGTAATTGTGGGGAATTTCTGTTCAATATTAGACCATTTTAAGTGATATTATTTTTTTATATCAGATATCAAATATAAGAATTAAGGATGCAGTACCGGGTCAGCGTAACTTAAGTTTCAGACATTAGATTTTGCTCATATTTTTACAATGTATTACTATGATATTATCATCATTCAAGTGCAATATGAAGAGGATTGACTGTCTGGTTATTTCGATATAAAATTTTCCTTTACCCACCCAAAATGTTCCTTTTTACATGTAAATCTATCAGAAAGTAACATAATCTGCTAGCTACCCTAATATGAAAATCCTCCCATGTGGACATTTTATGAATATAATTTATTACACAAGATTAAAGTTAACAATAAGTATTTTATTGTCCTATTTTTTGTTACCATGCACCATTTTTTCAACGGTGAGTACCATTGCCATGGTAACTGAGTTATACCAAAACCTGGTCAGACCGACAGGCAGATGGAAACGCCATTTCAAATCCGTGGTGATCAAAATATGTCACCTATAGGGTGGTAACATGATAAATGATAAAGAAAAGTATTATAGAAAACATCACAGATGCATAGCTGGGTGGGGATTATTTGGAACCCCCCCCCCCCATGCTGGAATCTTTTCAAAATCATTAATTTATCTTTTTTAATTTTCTCATTATTTTTGTTAGACATATATTTTTGACTAAATGAAAAATTATGCTTTTTGGCCATTTATTGGCTTTTTGTGTATTCAAGCCCCCTTTAGATAAATAGAGATCCTGACCCCCCCCCCCCCCTTAGTAACACATCAACATCAATTTGTAAAATAAATCTTGGAATTTTTTATTTGCGGGTCACAGTTTCTTCACAAATATTGACTATGTTCAAAAGTAATTTCATCTACAGTTAGAAATATAAGAATTGGTGTTTACCAGATATAGGTGTTCACTAGACAAAGGTATTCACTAGACATAGACGGGTAGGAAGGAGGGGTTCCCATGCACCCGAAAGATGTATTTTTTTAATGTACATTTTTGTAATCCTAAAGGTCCATACTAAAGATTTTTGCATGTTCCCAGAATGAAATATTGTCCCATGGTATCTATTGGCGGCCATCTTGTCGGCCATCTTGGATTTTTGAAAGAGTTGATGTTAATTATCTCAAAGTATAATAACTTCCAGAGTTTTGAGATTTGAAAGCTGTGAGTGGTACCAAAATGAAGCTATTATAGTATCCTATATTATCAGATGCAATAATTATGCAAATTGTCTCATTTGCATAAAATGTGACATCATCAATCATAATTCTTGCCTCTTTACAACGGTATCACATTATACCTTTCTGCCTGAGTGATCAGTCTTAGTCATTCATTCACATAAATGAATTTAAATATATAGGTACATTAATTTTGAACATATTTGCAACAAAAAAATTCGAAACTTTTGGAAAAACATTGTCAGACACACGATAATGTTACTGAAAAGAGGCGTGGCACTTCTTGTGAAAGAATTGATTTTAATTATCTTAAAGTATAATAACTTCCACAGTTTTGAGAGTTGAAAGCTGTAAGTGGTACCAAAATGAAGCTATTATAGTATCCCATATTATAAGATGTAATAATTATGCAAATAGTCTCATTTGCATAAAATGTGACGTCATTAATCGTAATTTTTGCCTCTTTACAACGGTATCGCACAATACCTTGCTGCCTGAGTGACCAGTCTTAGTCATCCATGAACATAAATGAATTTGAATATATAGGTACATTAATTTTGAACATATTTGCAATTGAAAGTTTTGGAAAAACATTGTCAGACACTAAGTTATAACACTTCACATGATTATGTTACTGAAAAGGGGCGTGGCACTTCTTGAGAAAGAGTTGATGTTAATCATTTCAAAGTACAATAACTTCCACAGTTTTGATAATTGAAAGCTGTAAGTGGGACAAAAATGGAGCTATTATAATATACTTATAAAAATGCAATAATTATGCAAATGTTCCCATTTGCATAATATGTGACAACCTCTATTATTTTTGGCATTTTTCAATGGTAACGACCAATATCTCTCCCTCTAGGTAACAGTCTTGGTTATTCATGAGCATTTATGATTTTGAATATATAGGTACATTAATTTTGAACATATTTGCAATTGAAATTTTGGAAAAACTTTGTAAGAAATTAAGTGTTGACACTTCACATGATTATGTAACTGAAAAGGGGGGGGGGGCACTTTTGTTCAAAATGTTAGCTTCTAAACACTAATATCAAATTCAAGGGCTGAAGCTCCTCTAGCAGAGTCACGTAGATAGAGTCCAATGTTGCTCATTGGTGAAATTTTGGCCAAATATTGCATCTTGTATGCACTGCTTACAAGTACATGAAGTGTTCATTATGATAGTGTAATTCCAATATGACAGCACAATACAAGTCAGGCTATTTAATTGTCACATATGCAAAAGTCGATCTGATGAGACATGTTAAAAATGGTAGTGGTTAATAATGCCCAGATCAAATTAACATGAGATAGATATTGAAGGTAGGCCCAGATCAAAGTATGGGCATCCTTAGCCTCAATCATGACGCCATCTGTATTGTCCATTAGTGGGAACTGTAACCCAAATAATGAGTATATGATTTAATGTATGTGCCATTCAGTTGCCATGCACTTGGGGCAGTTGGCGGTTTCTTCCTTGCCCCAAAGTCTGAGGTTTGATGGAGTTGAGACCAGGTCAGGGAAAGGTCTTAATAGGAAATTGAGCCTCCCTTTGTCCATGGACCAAAGGTCATTCCATTTCAAGAAGTGCTGAAGTGAGGGTTCCCAGGTAATGTCAGGTAATGTAATGTCAGGTAATTCCCAGGTAATGTAAATCTGGAAAGGCCACTGAAATCGGGGAGTAATATCATAACACCCCGATATATGACTTGAGTCAATGGCTCTAAGCCACTTGTCCAGGTCCCTTGACACTTCAGCTGTTTTGTTCAAACCACACATAGTTCTTCTCTAGACATTGCCCTGTTGGTATTTGCTTGCCATTTATTTTGAACTGCATTGGAGAAAGCTTGCCATCAACCAAAACCATGCTTCTTGACCTGGTTGGTTTTTAACTTCATGCAAGTACCCACTTTCATCTTGTACCCACTACTGAACTGGTCATAACTGTGATGTCATCCATGAAAGCTCTGTATGGTAAGTGTTTTGCACCTTCATTTGCTTTTGAAACCTTACACTGCATCATCCCTGCCTTGAGCAGTAAGTTCATTGATGTTACGAAGAGAACTACTGATACAGTGCAGTCTGCCACTATGCCTTTCTCTGAACTCTGCTAATTAGTGGTATTATTGCCAAATGTATTGTGCAACTTTAAGGAGTTTGTGTGTCCCATTGTCAGATTGACTACATCTGTTGGCTTTGGTACGTGAAAGTTAATTTGTACCTCTAGTATCAGTTGGTGAGGGACACTAGGTAGACCTTAGGTCCAGCAAAACTACTTATTCTCTTCCTTGGCTTCCTTCACAAGTTGGCTTATTGCTGCTATATGCACCCTTGATGTCTTGGGATACCACTTTTTTCTGAATGCTTGGCAGGCCAGTAGGAAATAACTGTGAGACTTGACCACAATGGCCCAGAAGATCTTTCCCTCAGCATCCGATAATGATGTCTACTTGAACTGGTTCAGTCCCTCAAATTTTAGCTCCTTTGGAATGAAGTACCTTTCCGCCAAAGCCCAAGTCCTTGCTAGATTTTTCTTGTTCTGGATGCTTGTTAGCAATCACCATAGGTGTATTAACAGCTTATGGCTGTTCTTGTACACCATGTATGCCTTCCTGATGATTGTTCTTACCTCATCAAGCTTGAAATCTGACTGGTCAAACGGTTTTGATGATAAATCTGGTGAGATGTCAATTTGGAAATTACTCGATGGCATATTTCGATCTGGGTCACTGTGTGCTGCCAAAGTATTTGCTTCTGCTTGATCCTGCGTATATGCCATACGGGCACTCTTTGGTTCCCTAACAAGTTTGATGTGAGCCTATAGAGATTTTCAAAGAATGTCTTCCTGGTCCTACGCTTCTTTTTAGATTTTCTCTAAGATGAAGTAATCTCTAAAGAAGCATCTGTTGGAGCTCTCTGATCTTTTTCACTTGCCAGTGTTGAAGCCATCCACGAACACTGTGGGCTTCATCTCTCCTTCCCAAGAGAAGCTTTTGTCTTCTACTTGGCCCAACACAATGGTGTTTCACAGATGTTTCCTCCACTCACTGTCCTCGCATCTGGGATGGAAATCGTTCTAACTTGGACAAGAGGTAGCATAGTGAAGAGGCTGGGCTCTGCATCCCACTTCTATTGGGTGCATAACTGCATACCACCTTCTTGTCTTAGCCTCATCAAATAGGTCTTGGATTTTAAAGCTGATCAGATATTTTAATCGGTCAACTCTTCTGAAGGTACCATGTGCTCATTGAAGATGTTGGACCTCTGTGTTTTGACATCAGCACTGAGTTTCTGTAAGAAGTCAACTGAGAGTCCAGTCGGATGTCTTGGATAAAACATTGAACTGAGGTAGAGGCTTAATACATATTGAGTTAATTATATAGCTTTAACAACTAAATACTGTGAGTACCCATTTCAGTCCATTGCCTATCCTAAAATGATATGGGGATATGTGGTCATTCTTATCTGTATAGTACTTAGTCCAAAAGCGATACAGATTATATATCTTTGGCTGAAATTTAAATGTCTGCCAAACAGACCAACAAGAATTTCTGAACAAGCTAGGAATAAGGAACATCACTGGGCTACTTTCTAAAAGTCAAAAGCTATATTTTACACCCGAGGGATTCACTCTATATAAACATTGACAGGGGGTTCCTCTTTTAACATTTGGTATGGCAATGGATCCAAATTTTCGGATCTGGATTGAGAATGCCCCCATTTAATTATGACTTTTGAGGTATGACAATGGTCGGATTTTTCTACTTTGTGGTACAAGAATGGTCATGGAGAATATGTTACATCTCACTTGTGGTATGGGATTGGTCTAGTTTTTACAAATGTCCTTAATTTGAGGTTGTTTTCATTTTCATAAAAGTTCTGCTTCTTCCAGGGGCTTTAGACATTTTGCATTACAATGGTCTTAGATTTTTGGAATATTTGGTATGGCATTAGTCCTATATTTGGACATTTGGTATAGCATTGGTCTTATATTTGAATATTTGGGTTGGCTTTTAGGCGTTATTTTGGTTGGTATGTGAACACATTGAAATTTGACAGATTGGTATAGGAACATAGTGATTATGGGAACATAATGATATCTTAGGGCTCAGCCTAGGACAACTACAGAATTATGTATTCAGTGAACCCCTGGGTATTTTACAGATGATACATCGACTATATAATAACATTACGGATTTTCACGCCCCTTTTCAGAACAATAATTATTTGAAAGGTCATACCTTGATTTCTGACAATGTTTTTCTAAAACTTTCAATGCAAATATGTTCAAGCTTTCAATTGCAAATATGTTCAAAATGAATGTATACATTTAATATCTTTTATATTCATGAGAGACCAAGACTGGTCACTCAGAGGAAAATGCAATATGTATTACCGTTGAAAAGGGGCAAAAATAATGATTGATAATGTCATATTTCATGCAAATACAGTGATTTACATAATTATTGTATCTTATAATGTGGGATATTATGATACCTTCAGTTTGGTACCACTTGCAGCTTTCAACTCTCAAAACTGTGGAAGTTATTGTACTTTGAAATGATTAACATCAATTCTTTCACAGAATGCCACGCCCCTTTTCAGTAATATAATCATGTGTCTGACAATGTTTTTCCAAAACTTTCGATTGCAAATATGTTCAAAATTAATGTACATATATATTTAAAATCATTAATGTTCATGAATGACTAAGACTGATCACTCAGGCAGAAAGGTATAATGCGATACCGTTGTAAAGAGGCAAGAATTATGATTGATGATGTCACATTTTATGCAAATGAGACAATTTGCATAATTATTGCATCATATAATATAGGATACTATAATAGCTTCATTTTGGTACCACTTACAGCTTTCAATTCTCAAAACTGTGGAAGTTATTATACTTTGAGATGATTAACATCAACTCTTTCAAAAATTCAAGATGGCCGACAAGATGGCCGCCAATGAGTACCATGGGACAATATTTCATTCTGGGAATACGCAAAAATCTTTAGTATGGACCTTTAGGATTACAAAAATGTACATTAAAAAAATACATCTTTCGGGTGCATGGGGACCATACCTTCCTACTAGACTAACACAGGTGTTCACATTAGAAAGGTGCTCACTAGAAATACCAAAAAAGGTGTTCTTGAGACACAGGTGTTCACAACTACTAGACACATGTGTTCCCAAGAGAAAAGTGTTCACTAGATACAGGTTTTGCTGCACTGCAATAATTGATAATGTGCTAAGAATTGGTGTTCACTAGTCACAGGTGTTCACTAGATACAGGTGTTCTCTAGACACAGGTGTTCACTAGATACAGGTGTTTACTAAATAGAGTAGTCCATATATATGAGAATACCATGACAGTGCCTGTGTTCTATATTATGAGTTGCCAAAATTAGTTATAAGACTTATAACATAGATAGATGGTGCTGACTGGAACAAAATTAGCTATAGCGAGTTAATTAACAACAGCCTTAGCTGTGCTTGTATAAAAACCACCGGCTATATTTAGAGAAGCTTTTGCACAATTCTAGCTATAAGATCATCAATTATGACCATAGGAAGAAACAAAAATATTTTTATTAATTATACATTGCTCTCTTTATATATTTTGAAAGCATTTGTAGCAGAACTATGGGACAATCTAAAAATGCGAAACTGACATTCTTGGGAGCTAGCTCTACTCGAACCGGAAGTAAAACCTGCGCAAACAGAGGTGAAAATAGACCCGGTACTGCATCCTTAATGAGAGGAGCGACAAAACGACATCAGCCGCATATATTCTGAAAATGTCACACGTATCCCATTAATATCAAGATCCTGTCATTGTACATATACAGATACTAACAATAACACATGATCGTTGGATAAATTAAAGATTAGTACAGTATATAACCATGTGTTTCACGTTAAAGGCGATGGCAACACGGTCGACACTGGACCAACTACAGCGCAGCCACCAGGAGGTGTTGCCCCGGGGAGAGTTGCCGCACCACAAGGCAACTTCATGGTCATGAACTTTCCTGGACCCGAGAGTAAGCAAAGGGAACTTTATTTCAAAAAGTGTCTCAAACAATATTTTTACGTAGATTTTGAGAAATGAATTTTTAGATGATTTGTTTGAACTTTTTTTAAGCTTCACCCGGGCTTTCAAAACAATAACGACATCAAGTCTACCTGCAAAACTAATTTTATTCTTCTGCCTATAATAATGAAAAAGTGAATATCACAAATATAATCATCAGCTATACGATTATTATGCCATCAACTATAGCAGCGTCATTGAGTAGAACAAAATGAGCAAAAATGAAGAGAATTGATATTTTAGTGCCGTCTTAAGATAATCGGTATGGAATAATCGTTGAACACATGAAACTCTCCTTAAAGTGTAAAAACTAAGATAATCGGTATGGAATAATCGTTGAACACATGAAACTCTCCTTAAAGTGTAAAAACTAAGATAATCGGTATGGAATAATCGTTGAACACATGGAACTCTCCTTAAAGTGTAAAACTGTAAAAATTTGAAAGTTCGTTTTTATTGTTACGCAAGAGATCTCTCGTGTAGCAGAGGTTACAGCAGTTACGTGATAGTAAAAATGTCATTGTTTCAGCATTACCTTCCACGGCGTTGGCATACCCGGCAAGCAATACAAAAAATGGGCGTCTTCGGGGTTTCGGGCTAACAGGTCAAGAATGCGTTGACCAGTGTTTTGCGGAAGTGACGTGTTTGGCGACGGATTTCAACAGCGTCGATGGGTCATGCTGGATACATACCAGAATGACGTCATGCGATCCTTTGATGCAAGCCAATCAATTATATCACATTAAGAAAACTGCATGTCGTACGTTTATCCTTAATATAATATATTCTCATTTTTCACGTACACTCCCCTCTCTAAGTTTGGTAACCGAAACCCTTCACTCGATAGTGCGATAGTGGATAAAAGTCTGTTAATGTTTGAATTTTACTTGGAAATATAGTTCGGAGATTGATAGTGACTCTTTTTAATCCCCAATCATAGCTTTGTTTAAGTTTCAAATGGGGGCTTCCAATTGCCAAACTGATGGAGAGAGATGTAGATCAAGTAAAGCTTTTCATACCTATTAAAACAACTTAATTCCATGAACATAGGTTAATTGTTAAGATAGACTACACTATCGTATCATTTTGCCCCTTTTCTTTCATATGTCAAGTGATGTGCATTTGTAGTTCACTATATCATTAACTCAGGATTTAATAAATTAAAAGTGATTTTCCGTTTCAGCTGCGCCGTTCCCAATGCCAACATTCTGATGAGGACTTTTGAGGCCAAATTTTATGTTACATCAGCCCAGGATAAAGCAATGATTATAATAAACAAATAAATTCGAATAATGAAATAAATCATGTGTAGAGTATTCAAGATGTGTATTCAATCACAGAAGCACAGTTATTTACAATTATTACACGTTTGTTATGTATCAAACGTAAATACCTAGAAATCTGACAAGACACTAGACAAGATTAAACAGCGCAAATCATTCTTAATACTATTATTTATCCGTTTTGTTAAGATGTGCAGTCTAATCAATCACAAGTTGATACCTTTTTTATTATATCACGATTCGGCTAATTCCCTGATACATTGACCAATAAAATAAAAAGAAAGTTCTTAGTTTTTCATATCCAAACAAATATTTTAATGCATTTTTATAAGACTAATGGAGTATATAAACTATTTTTGCAAAAATCTGAACATGTTCATGAGTTCCGTGTTTTTCTATGAATTCACTAAATAGATAAAGGACGAATTGTAAATCATGTTCGCACTTGAAATCGTAGTGTGCAGAGACCTAAGTAAACTCTTTTATCTGTCAAACTGTGTCACATGAGCTCTTAGAGAAATCACGGGACGTTCGCTATCAGCTGTTGTATATAGGCTCGTTGAAATCATATGATTCTCACTTTCGAGGAACTTTCACGAAGAAAAGTTATGGTAGGTTCATAATCGTAAATAAATCTAATTAATTTACTTACCTGATTTACTTTTAAACTGATAATACAAGCCATTAACAATCTGAAGAAATACCTCTATTTGACATCACTATTTTATATGTTTTTGTAATTATTGTTTGCGTAATAACCAATGGAACATGCATCATGTTATATTATATATTGAACCTTTACTTCAAAGATGTTGAGACTCGCTGTAGCTGCTCTGTGCGTCATCGCCACACTCGGATTAAAATCTGGACTCAATGGGCCATGGGAGACATTCAAACTTCACCATGGAAAACAATACACGACAAATGAAGAAGCTATGAGGTAAACATTAAGCGCTTTTAGTAGTAGCTCCAACTGTTCGTTAACCTTCACTTACCTTCTATCAGTGGTCTCATACATGTTATAGGTAGAAAATAGATGTTTAATTCATTATGGCTAACATATTGAATATTAATAGTAGAATTTGTAAAAAAAAACTTTTTTGTAATTTGTTCCGCATTATTTCACGGTAAAATCATCATTATAGGGAGGTTAACCTATACGTTTTACGTTTACGCGTATGTGAACGCGTAATATTATGACTCGGGGTCTACTGATTTTACATGGACCAAATAACATCTACCATAGTTTTCTCATACTTTTATATTTGAAGTTGCACGTAAATATTACGAAGGGGAGACCTTATCGCTATATGACCATTAACGTATGCGTTCATGCATAAATTCTCAATAACGTGTAAATAAACCCATTTGTCTTGCATTGTTGATGGTGACATGGTCGTTTGCTCACTTGTGTACTATGATTTTAGGAGAGTGATCTGGGAAAGACACGTGGACCTCATCCAGCAACACAATCTCGAGGCTGACATGGGCAAACACACTTACTGGCTTGGCAGCAACAAATACGCAGATCTGGTGAGCATCTTTCTGATCTGATCTAAATGATTTTGCATTAATTATATATGTCCATTTGCCTATGGTAGCAGGTTTTGGACATTCATAATATATCATTGTTTTGGATTTGGACGGTTAGTTTTAATATGACTGTTGGTGTTCTGAGGTGATTTTTAGACGTCAAAATTCATCAATAGGGAGTTTAAGCTTGCATTGTTTTTCACAACCTAAAGGTGAACGTAAGTAAGCGATGCATTTTTATGGGCGATTGGTCATACGTATAGGTTGGCGATTCGATTTTACATGCAAGCTTAAACTTCGTACTCTTGTCCTTTGGGTTACTTGCTTTTATAATATAATTTATAGAGTTTAAGAGGGATAATACAGTATTGCACCGCCTTCTACACTTTAAGATCGAAAGTACAGGGCGTTCATAAAGGTCTTGCAAAAGTACTCTAAATTTTTTGTTTCTCAATCAATCTGGCTGAAATTTTCACTCAGTATACCTACACTATTAATACATTTGAATCTTGAATAATAAAAAAGTTATGATTGCAAGAGTAACACGAGTCGGGGGTAGGCGGAGCAGCATTGAAAAAAGAAAAATTTAGATAAAAAATATGGGTTAGAGGTAACTTTAACATACTTTAAAGTATCCTTGAAAATACAAAACAAGCCAATGTTGCCATGTAAACACTAGATGATGTCATATGATGACATCATAGTTGAAATGTCTTTGATTCATGACATCACTCATGGTATCATAGTGACCTATATAGGTTGTTGACATCGGATTTGTGAAAGGCAACGTCAATTTCATTTTTGTGGAAATGACTGCAAAATCAGCAAAAGATGATGATTTGCAATAACAAATAATCAGTAGCATTGGGATGTATGTTTTACTGGGAAATTCAAGAAAACATACACTTGATGATATTCGTAAGGTTTATTGGAAGTAGGCTATGGCCAAAAGAACCATTTACAAAACGGACTAAGACATTTACTGATGGTAGAACAAATGGCTAGATCAAGCCGTCCAAGAACGAAATTCAGTGAGGATCAGATGACATTGATGAAAGCCATCCATACAAAGATCAATCGCAATAGATTTTCCAAATGGGTTCCCCCATCTATTTGAGGAATGGTATGTAAGACAGCAGAGGTGTATAGACCACATTAGACACTATTTTGAACACCTATACTCTTGAGATACTGTTATTAAAGCAAATAGGACAAGTTAAAAACATTTTGAACATTCAAACAAAACCGATCCTTTTTGCCTACTCCGCCTACCCCTGACTCATGTGACTATAGCAACCATAACTTTTTTTTCCTCAAGAACCTATTAATTATAACTTAGTATCTCAATGTATGAATAGTGTAGGTATACTGAGTGAAAATTTCAGTCAGATTGAATGAGATACAAAAATTTTAGAGAACTTTTGCAAGAACTTTATGAACGCCTGTATATGGCGCGTAGAACTCGTGGGGATATTTGAAATGTTATGAATGTTATATTAATACCATTAAGATCATATTTAAAGCACGTACATGCACGTGGCCCATGTATTGTATTTAACAGTACATGATTCATTACACAATAACAATTCAAACTATGGAACTACTCTGCATGATTCGCATTTTTCAAGGACACTGTTGTCATGAGACATTATCTTACGTCCTGGTCACGAGTTATGATGTAATCTGCGCAATGTTAGACTCTATTATTGGACGAGGACACCAGGGTCATTTGTATTATACTATCAGTTTCATTTGAGCAAAGGTCATGTTGATATCTATTGTCCTTTGGCGTAGGGACAAACGATGATTGTGTTATTGCGTTTAAGGAGGCTCAAGAACGTGTAAACATTGGTTCTTAGAGTTAATTTGTTCTCAGTTGATACGAGCAGGACAACGACCTAGATCGAGATAAAGCGGCTCTCAACGTAGAAACATGGGTTCATTAATAAAATAAATTGTAAGACACAAAATACCTGCGACATACAACAATATGGAATGATTAAAACAATACTGCCCCATTTTAAATTGCCGCTTATGTCATCAGCTTGTCATCAGCTTATTGCATTTTGCTGTATGTTTTTATTTGAAATAAAATGATAATTCAAATCAGCTTATTATTTGGTCCACCCTGATTTGAGCTGGTTGGTTACTTACCATTTGTTTTTTAATGTCAAGAACATCATAATTATTGTAATTTATGAACTTATATATTTTGTAACAAGCCTTTTTAGCTGTTTAACATTTTATAAAATGAATGTTGATTTGAGTTGCAATGTGTGACAGTGATGTTCGAAACGGTTTTCACGTGCATTAGATAATGGTTTGTGATATAAGGGATTTATTATAAACCTTACTACTGGCTTTGTTCTGTCGTTTCTTCATCTTGGCCATTGTTAAATGGTATAACATGAGTGTAATATTAGAAACGTTTTCTCTTTGTATTAGATATTAATGGTCTGTGATATCGAGAATTTATTTCTTATCATTGAATTGAAGTGTTCTACAAACTCTATCTTAGCCTGTATGTTTTCAAACCTTGTTTTTCCTCCCTTTTGCACTTTGCACTTCAAAATATCTATGTTTTTTGTTGGTAGACCGATGAGGAATACACAGTTTACCTCACCGGATACATGATGCGCAATGGAACATCAGATGCCCCCGTCTTCATGGCACCATCAAACATTGAGGCCCCCGACATGGTCGACTGGAGAACAAAGGGTTACGTCACTGAAATTAAAGATCAGGTATTCAACAGATTCAATATTCAGGATATTCATATGGTGAAGAAGTGAATTATTTAGGGATATTAAAAAACATGCATTATTTCTAATTCTATATTTAGACATGCATGATTGGTATCTTAGAGATTAGTAAATCTTATGTTTGTTACGATGGTTTACTTTTATCATATTAGAATCGTTACTATAATCTCGGTTGTATGAGTTATGGCAAATGAATCTACGTTTGCCATTGCTAAACACCTCAATCGCTGCGAGAATGTCTTTTAACAATGATCATAATACAATGTGGTTTTGATAATGTATTATTATACCAAGGAGGATTAGCTCCCAGAATCGAAGTCGATATTTTCCAACAATGAAAACGCCGAAATGTCGTTATTTTCTGAAATTATAACCGATTATAAATTCAAAATAAACAGTTCAAAATATTCGAACCAATATCTCGATCATTTCTTGAGTTTTGGAATTTTTCGTTAGGAAATAAGACCAAAATTCACAATTCAAATGTTGAAGTGAACAAAATGGCGGTCGTTGGAATTCAAATTTTGTAGCACGACATGCCCATATATGGGACAGAATATCGATGCTGCACTCTAGGAGCCAATCCTCCTTGTATACATAAACCTCATTTCACAGGGACACTGCGGATCATGTTGGTCTTTCTCTGCGACTGGTTCACTCGAGGGACAACACTTCAAGAAATCCGGAACTCTGACATCACTCTCCGAACAGAACTTGGTTGATTGCTCAAAGAAAGAAGGTAGGATTTCGATACGTTGTGTGTATAAGGGCATAGAAAGATTTCACTTGGGAATAATTGATACATCGATGAAATCAAATATTTCCATGAGTACTTTTCGGCGTTCTTTGGCAAAATTAAGACTTACTTTGAGCTTTATTGTATTTCCGATGGATTCATAAGTACTTGCTCTGCCCAACACAGAAGCTCAAACTGGACATATCGGAGCTTACAGCCGATTATCAAAATACATGTTCGACCTGTCAAGCGTTGATGTGAAGTTTTACCAATGCCAACAAAAGATGACATCTTTTCAATCAAAAGTTATATTTGAAAAACTTGGTGAAAATCTAGTATGCACGCGCCACTGACAATATTTGGACGTTTTCAACGTGAGTTGTTTTTTTAAAGCTTTCATTGTTCAAGCCCATGATGCTCCTCAAAACACTGGAACGAACCCATTATGAATGATATCATGGATGAAATGTTATAATTATAAATATATTCCATATCCAGGCAACCATGGCTGCCAAGGTGGACTCATGGACTTCGCCTTCAAGTACATCAAGATGAACGGTGGTATCGATACTGAGATGTCTTACCCTTACAAAGCCAAGGTAAATATATCACGATATGGGGTTGTATGTATCAATCATCTCGCTTGAAATATTAAGTTTGAATAAGAGATACCATACGCTTGAAATATTAAGTTTAAATAGAAGATATCCACGCTTGAAATATAAGGTTTAAATAGAAAATACCATACGCTTAAAATAATAAGTTGAAATAGAAGATATTATACGCTTGAAATATTATGTTCAGATAGAAGATATCCCATGCTTGAAATAATAAGTTTGAATAGAAGATACTATACGCTTGAAATATTAAGTTTAAATAGAAGATATCCCACGCTTGAAATAATAGGTTTGAATAGAATAAACTATACGCTTGAAACATTAAGTTTGAATAGAAGATACCATACGCTTAAAATATTAAGTTGAAATAGATCGAAGATCACATTGGTTCTTTGATTCTTTTAATTAAGTGTTTATCCAAGGGCTTGGGACGAACATTTCTCTCAGTAAAATTGCAAACAGCGGAAAAATTCCATCGTTCGCCCTTTGAATACACTGTTCAATACACCGTTAATATTTCCAAGAGTGATGTTTCGCGTTTTCATTTCAGAACGGCATCTGCAAATTCAAAGCTTCTGATGTAGGAGCCACAGACACTGGATTCACTGATATCCCACGTGGTAACGAGAGGAGCCTCATGGAGGCTGTTGCCACTGTTGGACCCATCTCGGTCGCCATTGATGCTTCCAAGCCAACATTCAGGTGAGATATCGAGTCAGATCGACTAACAAAACAAGCTTTTTTGGGGTTGTCGAGTTGGCCAAGAGGGCTTGAGCGCCAGCACGTTCAGGCTAGGCGACTGGGCGCCGTAACCACGAGGTCGCGAGTTCGAGACACTTGTGCTCCTTGTGTTTATTCATTTGTTACACAGCCAATTCACACCCACGTGGAAATCATTCCACAAGGATAAACGTACATGTGGAATTGTTGTATATCCACGTTGAATGCGGGTGAATTATACCCAGGTGTACCTGTGTTGACTTCTCAATTCACGCGCAGATCCATTTGAAAACCCGAAATCAACCGGGTCCATGGCTCGACATGGATTATGTTTGAATCGGTGGTGAAAGAAGATAACACTGTCTTTTGTAATTGTGCGAAACACCCGTCATTAATCTCTAATTAATTTGGCCTTATTTTCCATAAATATTCCTCATTTCTTAAACTGTGTTTCTATTGTAAATCAAATGAATTGACATACACGTTTTCATGATGTCATATACTTCCATCTAGGTTATACAAGAGAGGAGTGTACGTTGACCACAAATGTAGCTCAACGAGACTTGATCATGGTGTCCTAGCGGTCGGATATGGAACTGAAGATTCTCAGGACTACTGGATCGTCAAGAACAGGTTTGTCACGTGACTTTTCAATACGTCATCCTATATGTTACAGAAAAGTACTGAACGTGAACGATTTCCTAATACATTCTAGTAGCACAAGAGTGTCGTTGCTAATAATTATACTTCAAAAAACAGAAAACAAACAAAATATAATGGATACACTTAATCCAAACGTCAATTTGATTTTTCAAATTCATTAACTTCCAGTAATAGTCACAATATAATAAAAGTAATTGAGCCAAGAGGTGATTATAATAAGTTTTGATTCAAAGTAAATGTAATTGACTATACCATACCTTTTTCGGTCATTGGTGCCAAACACTGAGCTGGGTATGAGGGTATGGTTCCTGCACCTTACCTATCTCAAAGTCTGAATGATTCTGATATCCTACAAATCAGATAGTTTTTGAAATAGGTAGCCTGCATGTGATGGTTATATTGTCTACGCCGTTTCATTGTATATTACATCATATATGATGATAATTGTACTTTCAGTTGGGGCAAATCATGGGGCGATATGGGATACATCAAGATGGCCAGGAATAACAAAAATATGTGTGGTATCGCTACATCTGCTTCCTACCCACTTGTCTAGACCAGCAATATAGAGACGATATTAATGCTCAATCACATCCCTTGTACTCACTATCTACTCTACTAGCATTTCGCTCAGAGTAGTCGTGCCCCGGATAAAGACAGCACCAAAAACCGGGGAGGATGTAGATCATACTTTCACTTTGGGACAATACAATACGTGCAATACGTTGTTTAGATTTTATAACATTAATTTCATGATTGAATAGACATAAAACGAACTGGTATTGACATTGTAGCATAATAATAAACCATGACGACAACAGTAGATGATTATAAAGATATGAAAAGATCGTTGATTGAGGCTTCCAAAACGTGCCAAAAGTAATATTCAAAACTGTGTTAACTTAACATATTTATTTGTAAAACGCATGGTTTTGTAAGAAATAAATTTAAATGTAAATACATTAAAAGAGTTTCACTTGAGTAAACAGCCCTCACTTAATTATATTGTGACAATTGATCGAGATCGTTAAACTAAGTCGTAAGACTCTTTATGTCAGGTCATCACCATTGTTATGAGAGATTGTGTTGTAAACGTTCATAATATTAAACATTTGAGATGTTAAAAAGAGGAAAAGTAGAACCGCAAATAGGTATTGCATGTATCAAAAACAATAACAAACTTCCAAAACATAACGTCATTTAACATCCGGGCTTTGTTTTATCATCTGGGGTTTGTTATGATGGATGAAACTTGAAACATTGAAGCAAGAAAATGAATCTACGATTTTTGTTTTTCTTGATAAAAGGGCAATGAAACACGTAGTCCCTTTCCACAAAACTAATAAATATCCTAGCAATACATTTTATGCATTTCGGCGGGTAATGTTTAATTTTTTGATTAATTGCATTTTTCCTACAAGCTTTTCTTAAACTCTATGGTGTATTTTGTAAACGCCAAAATATACAAGATGCATTGCTGTTTCACGTTTTTGGGTTTAAAGAAAGTGACTAAGCGGCAACTTCAAAAAGACACCCTTGGTTTTACTGACGAGGCGTTTTACTTAAAGGCACACTATACTTAATTAAGAAGAAAAAATAAATATTGAAGCATGGTACTCACAAACTTGCTCAAATATGCCTCAAAGTTAGATTTGCTTTCAACAAAAATTTGAGCTGTTGTTGGTGTCAAATGAAAGATACGGTTCTTATGAATACATTGGATATACTATGAAATTTAAATGCAAGTCTTCATTTTGCCCAAAAATGTTGAAAATTCCCAGAAATGGGCCTTTAAGACACGTGAAAACAAAATTTACAAACATACATCATGACATATGAATATTTCAACTCTGAAAATGTTTACCTTTCAAAATATAAGCATTTTAATAATTGATTTATTCAAAAATTATGTTTTGGAACTTTTGACATTTTACCCTTATTTGAATTGTTTTGGGTGGGATCCCTGTATTAATTTGTAGATGTAACCGTATAGTGTTGCTTAAGTGTGTGTCATCACAAGAGATATAAATCACAAATCGATGACTACCTGTGAAGTAGTTTACAAGCACTTCAATAGTCGTTGTCATTTAATAATGAGGAAAACAATGCAGCATGAGGAAGTCAAATAGGTTTTAGACAAAATGTTCAAAATCTCATGAAATTATATTATTTTGAAAACCGATCATATTGTAAAAAAAAGACTTATCCACGTGTGGCGTATGTTGCTTATCCGATTGAAATGCTTTTTAATATTCCCTGTTACACCTGTTTTAAACTTTAGAACTATAAGAAGATCATTAGCATATCCATGTATTTGCCACTTAACAAGGAAGTACTTGAATATATCAAAATGTTTCCCGGTTTTGATCCAAAAATAGAGCTCTATTCATGATTTCGTGACGTTCATTATTTACAACACAAAGCAGGTAAAAGGGAATAGAGATTTTAGACGATTTTTTGGCCAGACGGTACGAAGCTTACCCGGCTAAGAGGAATTCGCCAAAATAGTAAGTAATAGTTTTAAATAGTATACTCGAGCTATTACTAAAATAAATCTAATAAATATAAGTTTATCAAGATTTCGAGATATATTTAATTGTGATCGAGGAAAATACAAAACAAATTTGTTTTAACACACAAAGAAATGCAAGCATATGTCGAAAAACAATTGATTTTTTAATGATTTTAAATTATCTTGTGACAAGGGTGATAGACAAATTTTAAAGCTTGCTTATATTTGTTATTTTCTAACCAATATATGTAAAGTTTTAGAGTAAACGTTAACCTTTTATAAGATTCATTATATCATATTCATTATATTACATATAACTTATAGAGTATACTTTAGCCTTATAATGAGGAGAAATCATTTTGACTTCACCTTGCAATTTTTTCTGTAGCTAATACACTGATGGATGTATTCTCTATGCTAAACATGTTTATCTGTAGGTTATTTGTATTTTCGAATACAGTATGTAATAAGTTGTAATATTGTAAACGTTCTTTTGTGTAGTTCTTTGCCAATATAAAACAAGTAACTTACAATATTTTCATACCAGTTTCTTTTTCACCGCGGAAGTCCTAGTAGAAGAGAGGTACACTACACGCTTTTAAGAGAACGAATACGGATTTGTATACTTATGGATCTAAGGGAATCGTTTTTCTTTTCATACCCTTTTTGATTGCCCGATTGAGACTTCATCTTCATTATTGTTTTAGATGTTGAGACTTGCCGTTGTTGCTATGTGCGTTACCGCCACACTCGGATTGGGATCTGAACTCAGTGATGCATGGAAGACATTCAAACTGCACCATGGGAAGATGTATACAAAGGAGGAAGAAACCAAGAGGTAAACAAACTTCCTGGAATTAAATCTAGTTTGATTTTTTAAATAAATAAAGTTATTTTCATCGTCAAATGTGAACAGACAATGGCCTTCGTGGAGCCCTTATTTGGTTACAAATACAGCAGGGGCCTTATTCCAGTGAGAATTATATACTTACCACTTCATGTTTTCCATTCGATTTATCTTATGGTTCATTTACTTCCTTGTTTCGAAAGCTATATATCTTTCACTTTCGCTTTATTTGAATGTATTTGATTTGATTTGTGTCTTACCATTTACATTTTTAACTATTATTTTTTGTTCTCAATACACCTGATCTAAAAATACTTGACTAGTGCTGGGGTGTAACTTTACCACATTGACGATAGTGCGTTTTTTATCAACCATTAACTTGATCACTTCTTAAGTTATTATTAAATTGAAATATGTATTTAAAGGCGAATGATCTGGGAAAGTAATATTGAACTAATACAACAACACAATCTAGAGGCGGACATGGGAAAGCACACGTACTGGTTGGGTAGCAACGAATTTGCAGATATGGTACTAAATAGTTCTCTCCTTAATTGTATTCTCTCTAGACAAGAATTTCTAATTTAAAGATAACTTTGTAAGCATTATATTTACATATACATAACGAATTAAAAAAACAATGGACATGGAGTGAAAATGTGGGTGTAACATCTGTTACGAAAAAATGATGTTCCTATGTCATTCACAATCAAAAAGTTATTAAAATGATAAACGGGGTTTGATGATGCACATATATGTTATACTATTTTTTGATCGTTAAACATTATAATTTGATTTCAGACCTTTGCTGAATTTAAGCAAAAGATGCTTGGCACGTTAATGTCTAAGAACAGTACATTTGACAACGAATTATTGTACACGCCTGAATTTAAGGCCGCAAGTGAGGTGGACTGGCGGAAAAGGGGTTATGTTACACCTGTCAAAAACCAGGTCAGGGAAAATAAAGTTGGGATAATTCACAATACATTGTAGTTAATATGTTGAAATGATGCTCCAAATTTTCTAGAATTTCTTAAGTCATAGAAATCACAGGCTGGTATCGAAAAATTTGTCCGCTGTGACGGAGCGTGCTATTTTTGCATAGAAACACTAAGAAACCCACACAATTTATTTTTTTACTCATATGTTTCGCTACGGAAAATGTCTTACTCCATGCAATGGGTATATCATTTGCGGGTAACTTTTACTTTTCTTTGAAGTCCAACAACGCCAAGAATAAAAGCTATTGAAAACGGCGCCGGGGTATCATACTCCAAAATGTACCATTTCTTTTATTTCTTTTTAATGGTACAATATAGTGACACGATAATATTTACATATGTTTTCAGCATAACTCTATAGGTATTAATGATATCTTGATGTATTGGGTATTTTTTATATTTTTTATAAAAATAATGTTTACATTTATTTAAATCTAAATCTAAATTCTTAACGTATTTCAGATTTGAAACTGCTCCGTCACAGCAGACAAAAAAATTAAATATTATTTTTTATCAAAAAAATTAAAAATACCCAATACATAAAGATCTCTTTAATACCTTCAGAGTTATGCTGAAAACATATGTATATATTATCGTGTCGCTATATTGTACCATTGAAAAAAATAAAATAAATGGTACATTTTGGAGTATGATACTCCGACGCCGTTTTCAATAGCTTTTACTCTTAGCGTTGTTGGACTTCAAACAGAAGTTAAAGTTACCCGCAAATGATATATTCATTGCATGGAGTCGGTAATTTTGATATAGCAAAACATATGAGTAAAAAAATAAATTGTGTGGATTTCCTAGTGTTTCTATGCAAAATAGCACGCTCCGTCACAGCGGACAACTTTTTCGATGACAGCCTGTGGAAATGTATGATCACATATGGATTGAAAAAATACACAATGATTCAATGAGTTTAGAGACTTGTATTAAAACTTGTAATTTATGATGATAATAATGTGAAGTGAATGCAAAAAACGTATTTTCGCCAAACCTGTATATTTACATAAATGTTTTGAATAATGTCTCCCAAATCCCTACAATGAAATTCAATTTGCGTTGCTCTCTCTAAAACATTAAAAACATGTTGTTCACCTTGTACAGGGGCATTGTGGCTCATGTTGGGCGTTTAGTGTGACAGGAGCTATCGAAGGACAGCACTTCAGGAAAACCGGGAAACTTGTCTCATTATCTGAACAAAATTTAGTTGATTGTTCAAAGAGTAAGTCTCCATTAAATGCAATGGATTATTGTGTAGAAATAATTGATAGTTTCATACAGCTGGAATAAGAACAGTAATTTATATTGCGGTAATAAGTGTGTGTGTGGATAGCCAAAATAACTCTTAAATTTATACCGTTTTATATCATATATTGTCTGTAAACAGCTAAGCAAATTTCAGAAAATCACGGATGCGATGGTGGGTGGCAATATAAAGCATTCGATTATGTCAAGATAAATGGTATCGACACAGAGGAAGCATACCCTTATATTGGCAAGGTAAATGCATGTTTTAGCAAAAAAACTTAGACTTAGTTACTTATGATTGTGTTTAGTTAATTTAAATTAGATCAAATTTTAATTTAATTTTTTTGTACATGTTGTAATATTATATTTGCCAGGATAGCACCTGTAAGTTTGATAAATCTGCTGTCGGAGCAACAATTCGAGATTATAAATCTTTTTCTGGCGAACAAAATTTGATGACAGCGGTCGCAGCAATTGGTCCAATCTCTTGTGCAGTTGATGTCACGAAAAAGTTCCAGTTTGTATCCATTTATTTTTTAACACACCAACACAATGAATATGAATAATATAATAATGTCTAATTTTTCTGTGATTTTTTAATACAAGGTTCAATTAAATGAGTTTGTTTGTTTTAATGTTTATATACTCATATAAAGTAGTTTAATAGAAAATATCAAAAAACGTCCATATTCAATTGTACATACTTTAAATTATTCTGGTAGGTTCTACAAGAATGGTATTTTTGTTGACTACACGTGTAGTGCATCTTCACCTAACCATGCCATATTGGTTGTTGGATATGGCACGGATGCCTCCTTGTATGATCCCAGTGACTATTGGATTGTGAAAAATAGGTACTGAGATATATGATACTTCTTTGTACATACATTCTACCTTAATCTATTTTTTGACCCCATCGACTAGAGGATTGTGAGACTCTACTACGATACGTCTTTGTACATGCATCCTTTACTTGATGGTCTTGTTGTAACTCTGTCAGTGCTCTGTTATTGATGTTCAATGAGAGTTTATTTGCACCATCTACAGATTTCAGTTCATTAATTACTGGCTTTTTCTATTAAAGCATGAATATATATATTTGTTATTATACATCTCAGTTATAATTTTTTCAGTTGGGGGAACAGTTGGGGAGAAGGAGGTTATATCAGGATGAAGAGAAACTATAGAAATATGTGTGGTATTGCCTCGAACCCCTACTATCCAGTGGTCTAGCAATATGTGGACGCCATTTATATCATCTGTCGTATAGCTTACATTTATGACAATTAACTAAATTGACTCTTGCGTTTGTGTGTATGGTCTTGCCTTAGTATGTGCTTCTAATGCTCTGAATAAATTGTTTTTAGTCAGGCAGATCATTTAATAAAAGTAAACAGTAATTATTACATCTCGTGTATATCTCAAGACCACCCATCACAAAAAGTGAGATATTTGTAGTGAACCAAATAATTCTGTAATACTTTTTTATGAAATTATAAATACACAAGAAAAACAAAATATAATGTAAAGTCTGTATATTTTCACTAATGCACTGATTTCCATCAACCATTATCCCGATTTTAAAGATATATCTTTTGTCGTCTACCTTTTCAACAGCGACATATGTAGGAAAATTCCTTCACCAACCGCTATCGGAAAAAAAAATAGGGAAACTGACACTGTCTCTATGAGGAAGTACTTTTTGGTCGTGCCATTTTATACGCAGTTATTCTCTAATGACAACTTTACTTTATATCTTTCCTGGGTATATGGTTTTAAATTATCATTGTAATATAAAAATTGCAATGACAATTACAATGATCATATTTTGTAGTTTAGTTAGAATTAAGTACTAAATTATATTTAAACGTTATTTCCTCATCACGATTAAGTTATAAAACTTACAGTCTACATAAGATATAAACGATTTCAAAACTATTCGAAGCTAGACTGAAAATCGAAGCTCAGTCTACAATAATACGAAAAATAACAAAAATAGTAAGTAATATCTTCAACGTTTTCTACTCGATTGTATCGCTATTGTGGAAACTTTTCAGAATTTCCAAATGGCATAGCTCGTAATCGAGAATGTACATTATTGAACGTATAATAACACCACGTGTTTGTTTGGAGACCAGTTGTATGGTCTGACAACATTTTACTTTTTAGTGATTAATTCTCTTGTGATTACGATAATGTCTTAACTTTGGTTTTCAATCTTGAAACTAATACAACTAGGGATTTTTTCCCAGATTCGTTTTCATCACTGAAATATAGGGGGGGGCAAGTAAAGTATTATTAAGTTTATTAAGGAAATAGTTGAAAATACTCGGATGTTGCAGCTTTGTCTTTAGTTTAATATAACATTCATTATTCCACAATATTTTCATAATAGTGTCGTTTTCATCATTTAATATTGTTTTAGATGTTCGGACTTGCCATATCTGCTTTGTGCGTTATCGCCACACTTGGATTGCGATCCGATCTGAGCGGACAATGGGAGACATTTAAACTACATCATGGAAAGACATACACCAAAATGGAAGAGTCCATGAGGTAGAACACTTTGACTATATATTTCAATATTTTATTTTATTTCATGCAAATAATCTACTTAATTATTTGATAGTTGATATATCTTTCACTATCGTTTTATTTTCTTCTTGATAATGAATACAGGCGTTTTTGACGTTTCAGCTCATTTCTTTGAAAAGTACAGTACTTAATATTTTGACTTTCTTGGAGTAATCAATGCACGCGTGTATAAATATAAAAGATGCACGCGTGTATCGAAACTTAATATAACCTCTTCTTTGGGGGCTTGGATTTAACTTTTCGTATCTTGTGTCTACTATTTCTTTATATTTTTAGTTCTCTTTATCTTCTTAATAGCTTTACCTATTCCACAAAGTCCTCTCGAAATAGGACTAACTAGTTTGGAAAGCTAGTGTTTTCATTTGTAAGCATATAAAATCCTGTCAACAAGGTTTTGTTTTTTCCTTAACGACGTTAGGTCTAAAAATGTCTGATGAATTTTTGATTCATCAAGTCAAACAGCATTTCCTGAATGTAAAACTCAAAGAGGGAGTTTTTTGTCTATTCTATAGGCGAATTATCTGGGAAAGTAATATTGAACTGATTCAACAACACAATCTGGAGGCGGACATGGGCAAACACACATACTGGTTGGGTAGCAACGAATATGCAGATCTGGTATTGAGAAGTTTTTATTTTCCTCTCTACAGAATAATTTATGATTTTATGAATTTATGATTTTACCCTTATAAAGGATTACTAAATTTACTATGTTTACCATTTTTTATTCGTTAAACGTTATTATGTTTTCAGACCTTTGCTGAATTTAAACTAATGATGTATGGCACATTTATGTCTAGTAACGGGACAGTTGACAATGAATTATTGAACACGCCTGGTGGATTTAAGGCCGCGAGTGAGGTGGACTGGCGGAAGAAGGGTTATGTTACACCTGTCAGAAACCAGGTAAGCGAACACTAAAATTTATATAGTGTGCCAAATCTTGACTATATGGTGTACCGGGAAAATGAAATTCATTTTTCACACAGATTTAATAATTGTATGGGGGAAACCCTTACCTAAGCTAAGGTCGATACCAATGCTTTTTGATACTCAAATTTTTCGCAATTAAAAGTCCCTGCCTGCATTAAGTAGTCATATATTGTCCTGTGCATAATTTCGAAACCTTATCCTAATTATTTCACAAACCTTTTGTTGATTCTGCAATAGTTTCCAATTTGTAAACAGCATTTAGCCTTTTTAATTGGGAACTTTTTTGAAATCTCCAAAATGGCTGCCATGTGATTTCAGAATTCACATGAGTGTGACGTGACATCACAGTTGCTCGTTCCTAGGTAACAACAAGATCACAATTGCTCGTTTCTAGGTAGCAACAAGATTTTGATTAAAATGGCACAGAATTGCCCTGATTAACACCCTTAAAATCCGATTTTCAAAGAATATATTTGGAGAAACAATAAAACTCATAATCACAAAAAAGTCGAGTGACTTTTTAGATGTCGAAAATCTTAGATACCAATGCTTTTTGACACTCAACTTTTTGGCAATTAAAAGTCCCTGCCTGCATTTAGTAGTCATATATTGTCATGTGCATAATTTTGAAACCATATCCTAATTATTTCACAAACCCTTTGTTGATTCTGCAATAGTTTCCAATTTGTAAACAGCATTTAGCCTTTTGAATTGGGAACCTTTTTGAAATTTCCAAAATGGCTGCCATGTGATTCCAGAATTAACATGAGTGTGACGTGACATCACAGTTGTTCCTAGGTAACAACAAGATCACAATTGCTCGTTTCTAGGTAGCAACAATATGTTTGATTAAAATGGCACAGAATTGCCCTGATTAACACCCTTAAAATCCGATTTTCAAAGAATATATTTGGAGAAACAATAAAAGGTAAGTGGAATAAATTAGAAGATGGTTTCAAGTTACCACAGAAGTCAAATTGAAACTCAAGAATGCTTTCTTTGACTCATAATCACAAAAAAATCGAGTGACTTTTTAGATGTCGAAAATCTTAGTGTATTCGATAAATGTACAGTGGCACTGATTTATCTAGAGTATCTCACAATTGTAGAGGGGCATTCATTTATATAGAGTATCTGCCAATTGTGCAGGGGCGCCGATTTATCTCTAGTATCTGCCAATTGTGCAGGGGCGCCGATTTATCTTGAGTATCTGCCAATTGTGCTGGGGCGCCGATTTATTTTGAGTATCTGTGCAGGGTAACTGTGGCTCATGTTGGGCGTTTGGTGTGACCGGGGCTATCGAAGGACAGCACTTCAAGAAAACCGGGAAGCTTGTCCCATTATCCGTGCAAAACTTAGTTGATTGCTCCAAAGGTAAGTCTAAATAACATAAAAATTGTTATGAAATCGTTGATTAATTTTCGCTGCCAATTAATAATCCTATGTAGTTGAGTTTTGGGGAGATAAGTTTGAAAGATATATCCCGTTTCTGGGGTTTAAATATCCAGAACCTCAATATCTTAACCATATTTCCCGCTCCCAGGCACATCTTCCCAATTCCGATAAATAAAAAAATCAGAAAAGATTTGAAAAATGTTGAAATAAAATTGAAAAAATGGAAAACTCTACTGGGTATAAGATAAAGCAGTTATGTACTGTCGGTTTGGATATGGGGTTTATCCCTCGGGAGATCCATATCTCCCTCTGTATAAACACCATATCCAAAACTTTCCACTACATAAGCCTTATTTTTTAATATATTACATATTGAAATGTCTTTTAACTGTTATAACGTGCATTTTTCAGACAACAATGGATGCCGCGGTGGGTGGGAATCAAAAGCATACGACTATGTAAAGATTAATGGCATCGACACTGAGATGTCATACCCGTATATTGCTAAGGTACATACATGCTTTACAAAAATCTCGAAGCACCGAGAGCTTAGATACACACACTTTGGATTTTTCAATTTTGATGATATTTGATCGTATCATGACATTTATATGACGTTATTATATATTTTCCAGGAGAGTACATGTAAATTTAGAAAGTCTGAAATCGGAGCAACAATTCGGGATTACAAATTTCTTTCTGGCGAACAAAATTTGATGACAGCGACAGCCGCTGTTGGTCCAATCTCCTGTGCAATTGATGCAACGAAAAAATTCATGTTTGTATAGTAGTTCTTCTAATCGTAAAAGCTGTACACGATAAATTGAAATAATTTCATGTGAAAAGGATTTTTTTTACTTTTCAATAAAAAATATGAGTATAAAGTATCTGAAGGAACGATTTTTATTAGGATAGTATGACAATTTCGATATGACGAAATAAAAATAGTTCGATAGTTTCGATTTTTAAATGCTGATATAAAGCAATGCGGAAGAAAAGATCAACAAACATGTTTTTAACAATAGTATGAAATATTTCGTGTCGTAATATTTTAAGTAGCGAATCCTTTGAATGATTTATTTAGCATTTCTACTCACATGTTTGTATATACATACTGTAACTATATATAATTTGATAGGTTGTACAAGACTGGTATTTTTGTTGACGACACTTGTAAAAAGTTCTCATCTAACCACATCGTCTTGGTTGTCGGTTATTGCACTGATGCCTCGCAGGCTGACTCCAATGATTATTGGATTGTGAAAAACAGGTACTGGGATAATATACAATGTACTATTATGCACCTCATTAAAATACTCAAATCTGATTGGTTAAGAGCTGCAGGGTCTATTGCCATACGTGGCAGCAAGATCTCGTTCTAACCAGTATTGAAGCAACGAGATCTCCAACCATCCCGTTTGCCAGAATACCTATCCTCGAAAAACATACTAGGCTCGACTTCTGTTTTATTGAACCCATTCTTTAAAATAAAGTATTTCTTGACAATTTAACCCCATCTTTTATTTATCTACAGTAAATTATAGAGGGAGATGCATAATAAAATAAATACTGGATGACCATGAGGCGGATATGCCAGAATACCTATCCGAGGGAAAAAATACTAGGAGAGGCGGAGCCTAGTATTTTTTGTTTAATACAGGATTTTATGTGTAAACATTTTATGTTTGATATGTTCGTGATTGTCATAAGCATTTCTATTATTGCACCAGTATTCCATGTTAAATGAGAGTTTATTTGCACAAAACCTATCATCTTCAGATATCAATGTATTATTGACTTGTTCGATTGAAACATAAAGCTAGATTGTCGCTTGGTAATTATTAATTGCTTTTGCATTTTCAGTTTTGGGACGAGTTGGGGTGAAGGAGGTTATGTCAGGATGAGGAGAAACTATAACGATATGTGCGGTATTGCCTCGTACGCTTACTATCCAGTGGTGTAGTTGATGTCATCTACAAATCCACCTGATATCTTACACACATAAAATAACAATTAAAAACTGAACCCATATATGCAATTTTCGAGGAAAAATTCCCGCAAATTCGACCAGGATTGACAAAGAATTGGTAGCGATATGGTGAACTAAATTAAATACATTTTCCTCTTAAACCAGTGATAAAAAAAATCTGATAAATTACACATTATCATTGTAATGGTCATCTTTTGAAAGGTGGCAATTTAGTTTGAACATTTGTATCTAATTTTTATATATTGTTTAACATACACATCAGAAATTGTTCTTGAAACCATTATGTTTGGAATGAAATGAAACATCTATCCGAACCTCGTTGGAACAAAATGACATTTGCACAACGTATTTAGGTCTCTCAATATTGTAATTGTACAAAGTAAAGTTTGGTTCATTTTGAATAATTATCTAACAAATATAATAAAATGTATAGTTTATTTTTCATATATTTTTCGTACCAAGATTGGCATGGGATAAACAGATCTTCCCATAGTCGGTTCGGGATATTGGAATTATCCCTTGGCCAATATAATATATCTACCCTCGGGACCTACGGCCCTCGGGCAGATATATTATATTGTCCTAGGGATAAATCCCAACATCCTGAACCTCATATAGGATAATCTCTATATACATGTACATCCCGACCAAACGGACCCTCGGGAAGATATTTATATTTCCCTCAGGATATACCACATTTTCAAAACATTCCATAACATAGCCCCCTCCCCTTACACTCCCCTACCATTGAATGCATACTAAATAGATATTTAGACTACTGGATCCACCCCTGGTTCATAAATATTAACTGCATTGCTTTACTACTCGTTAACCAAATTAAAACGTCTTCTTGATATAAAATTTACAATTAAATGGTTTTGGAAGAGTATACGCATGCAGGCAATCAACTCGATACTGAAAACCCGACAATGGCTATATGCTCCTATCTACAACTACTTGTTGCTGTATTATACATTACTGTATGCTCCGGTGTCAAAGATAATGATACAACGATCAGGTATATTATTGTAATTATAATACTTCAAATCTGATAGTGTTTTAGCTCTGTTTTATATTATCATTTTTTGTTGATTTTTATATTTGTCACGTTTTCAAGGTTCAATTTTACTTAGATAAGTTAACAGACTCAATAATTTAGTGAATTTCATAAATTATATTGAGATATGATTAAAATGTTCTACATCACAATTATTATGAAGAGGAGTTCACTTCACAAAGTTCAACCTTTATCCATTTCTTTAATTGATACAGTCCAAACATGGGAATCACCGAAATTAACACCAAGTCTAGTTTAATTCGCACTTCCACAATACCGTGAGATCACTCCAAATTCGTATGGGTTAGGATTCCATTTCCTTTACAATTCACAACACAAACTTGCAGTACTTCGCAAGTTTACACAGTACTCCTTGGACCTCTGCGACTTCACAAAATATTACTACGGCAAACCTTTATCCACTGATTTGTACCGGTAATATCACAATGTTATTCCACAAGTCCGTCTGAAGAATAACCACAATGCACAAATTCCAAGCAAGCACTTTCTGTAAATCATTATTCCACTTAAAATATTGCAGCAATCGTCCCATAGCAATCGCAAAAGACCGAACGATCATGATGAAAATAAAAGATGATTGATCCAGTGATGTAACTTTCAAAAGTTGGAGAATTTGCAAATGTTTACGGTTGATGAATCATTGTTTATCCTATGTCATGACTCCATATTCATGTAGTGTTTATCTCATCACAATTATGTATAAAATGTCATTTTTGAGTCACAACTATATATAAAATATCACCTATAGTAATCTAATTTTTACGGTCCTTTTCAATGTCTTTACATTTTATTCCCTCTCTACTTGATTCCTCCAAAACACTCCCTAACTAAAAATCCACTCTCTGTTATATCCAATACATATCTATATATATCTTCTTACGCTTTAGTGAACATACATATTTAAGTGAGTATGCATATTGCATGGTAAAGTTGAAAGTTCATAAGAATAAAACTATTTAAAGGACAAGGCACACTTTAGCCTAAAAATTTGAAAGGATAAGTTACACATAGAAAATTTATCAACACATTTAGCTACAAATTGTGACATTACCCCATTGTTTGAGAAATTATGTAATGTTGAGTAACAACATGAAATATTTCTGACTAGAATAAGTAGAAAATGTGAAAATTTTGTATAGAATTCCTTAACACATAATTATTCAAGTATAATTAAAACTTATATATAAAAAGTGGTTTGCACATAAAAATCTAAAATTATAACACAAGTCTGTTAACAGAAAATTATCCCGGACGAGCCCCCATTGTCACGTTTTCAAGGTTCAATTTTACTTAGATAAGTTAACAGACTCAATAATTTAGTGAATTTCATAAATTATATTGAGATATGATTAAAATGTTCTACATCACAATTATTATGAAGAGGAGTTCACTTCACAAAGTTCAACCTTTATCCATTTCTTTAATTGATACAGTCCAAACATGGGAATCACCGAAATTAACACCAAGTCTAGTTTAATTCGCACTTCCACAATACCGTGAGATCACTCCAAATTCGTATGGGTTAGGATTCCATTTCCTTTACAATTCACAACACAAACTTGCAGTACTTCGCAAGTTTACACAGTACTCCTTGGACCTCTGCGACTTCACAAAATATTACTACGGCAAACCTTTATCCACTGATTTGTACCGGTAATATCACAATGTTATTCCACAAGTCCGTCTGAAGAATAACCACAATGCACAAATTCCAAGCAAGCACTTTCTGTAAATCATTATTCCACTTAAAATATTGCAGCAATCGTCCCATAGCAATCGCAAAAGACCGAACGATCATGATGAAAATAAAAGATGATTGATCCAGTGATGTAACTTTCAAAAGTTGGAGAATTTGCAAATGTTTACGGTTGATGAATCATTGTTTATCCTATGTCATGACTCCATATTCATGTAGTGTTTATCTCATCACAATTATGTATAAAATGTCATTTTTGAGTCACAACTATATATAAAATATCACCTATAGTAATCTAATTTTTACGGTCCTTTTCAATGTCTTTACATTTTATTCCCTCTCTACTTGATTCCTCCAAAACACTCCCTAACTAAAAATCCACTCTCTGTTATATCCAATACATATCTATATATATCTTCTTACGCTTTAGTGAACATACATATTTAAGTGAGTATGCATATTGCATGGTAAAGTTGAAAGTTCATAAGAATAAAACTATTTAAAGGACAAGGCACACTTTAGCCTAAAAATTTGAAAGGATAAGTTACACATAGAAAATTTATCAACACATTTAGCTACAAATTGTGACAATATTTTACCAGCAAAAGATGAAAGACTAATATTTAATTAATCCATTTGCCTTTACAACAACTCGTAACATACATCCTAGCTATTTGTGATGAAAAAAATAAGAAAATATGTTGAAATATATTATACACTCCCCTCCAAAATTTTGGCAACCTTAGCTCCCTCATTGAACTACGTGTTAAAGCCTCTTTAATAATTCTTTTGAATTGTTATTTACATAACCTGCGAGGAAAATTCTTATATTATTGATAGAAATGTAACTTGACTTCATTTCCAATGCCCCCAAATTTTTCCAATATTTTCTTCAATTACAATAGGTCGGATATTGATAATAGACTTGATAAAATTCCGGAAATCGTCATTCCCATGTAAACCAATGGGAAATAGTGGGTTCTGGGCAAATCTTATTCCAAGATATCTATCCAGGTAAAACATTCACCAACATTTTAAAATAATTTTGTATAGAAATAGAAATAGAATTCTCTAACTTTTTAGACGCCAAGTGTTTAATTTACATTATGCATGTTACAGAGCTTCAAAGTCATTTTTGAAAATCATTTTTCGCCTCTTGCGTTAATTGAATGAGAGGAGTTTTTTGAAAAATAATTTTGACTTTGAAGTCCTATAACTTTTTTTAAACCTGAAGAAACGTATCAACTTTTGTAAGAACTCGCATGGATGAATATTCTGTCATATGAAAAAAATTGACGTATTGGAATGATGTCAAATCATAATTTCAGCCCTAAAAGTAGTTTTTCTGTATAGGTTATGCAAATGAAAATTAAAACATAAAGAGGCTTTAACACGTAGTTAAATGAGGTTGTTCAGAGAAAAAATCTTAGGAATGTCCATGTGGGGTATTCCATGTCATTTTAGACAGTTCCATTTGGACAGAAATACTGTGTTTTTCTTATTAAAACTATAATTTCATTCAAGTTATGTCCCCGTGATAGTGAAATATCTATCCAACTCTCTGGAAAGTTATCGATTGGGATACCTTGGCACTCTTTAAAATAGAGGATCTTGTTTTTCTCAATCTAAATATTACGTGCAAAGACACATTAAGTCACCCCTGATTTATATATTTCCTTGTCAAACATCTAAAGAAAATACCAGACTAGATCTTTTCATAGAGAGGAGACTGTTTATTTCTACGGCAAATTTAAATAAATGCTATTTGTACAAACATGGCCCCATTAAACCCTAAACTTTATGGTTCCAATCAACCCACCATACCTACATCCAATTAAGGTCATCTATGCATTCCGACCTTGCGTCATGTGATACAATTGCTAATGTATTCATTAGTTATCTTACTCGCTTGCGATTTATAGAATTATAATAAATGTACCTTGTGTATCTCCTAGCATAAGTACCTTAGTATGCCATTTATATCCGTCTACGTCGTTTTTTATTTATTGTTTCACGAGTACATAGTTTAACGATGACCTCCAAAAATGAGGCAATCTTTTAAAAATCAATGTAGAATCATAACCACAAAATTGCTATTTTGAAAACCAAATACACCACGCTTATCCTGTAATCATCAAACTATGATTTTATGCATGATATAAACATTTTAGCGCAGAATTTTATTCTCTGTTTTCATTAATGAATCTATTAATTCTTTTATTGACCTTTTTAGGTTTTTATCACGTTTTGAATATGTATGTACCGCATTGGATTCGTTAAGAACTAAAAGGTCCATGTGAGGTATTGCAAGTGATTTAAGACAGTCGAATCTTTCACCACAAGTACCTTCTGGCCATAAATACAATTGTTTTTTTATTAA